CCACCCCGCCAGTCTGCCACCTTGCATCAGGTCCCCTCCATTCGGGAACACCCCAGCAGCCTTGGCCAGCTTCCTAGTTGCTCATCTTGGTGGCCAGTCCTCCTCACCCCGTCTTGGGGAGTAGCAAAAAATCAGGTTCTTGGACACTCCTTAGTGCCCGACATTTGTCCTCTCCCAGCACCACCTCTGGGTGAGGCGGTTCCCACTGGGCTTCCCCGTAGAGGCCGGACACACGTATGAGAGACATGGGAACCCTTTGGATCTGAATCTGATATTCTCTGAAGACGCTGACCCTTTCTGTCTCTATGTCCTACTCTCCACCTGCACTAAGCATGCTCCAGTCCTCCTTCTGACGGTCCTCCCTTCCTCCCTCTTCCTCCTTCCTCCTCCCTCCACTGCCTCCTCTCTCCTCCTCACTCCTACCACCTCTCTCCTCCCTCCCTGACCCTCCACAGCAGCTGGATCTCAGCCTGGCCACCCACATGGAGGGTCCTGCCTGACCCTGGGGGCCCCTGGAGTCAGATCTGCAGGAGAAGTAGCCAGAGCTCCTGATAGGAGGGAGGAAATCCAGGATGGGTTTCCAAATACTGTGTGAGCTGTGGTGGAGGAGGCCGGCCTCGGACACGCATCCTCTCCTGATGGAGGCCGTGGGCCTTCAGGGACCCAGGGCGGAGGGCGTCAGGAGAAGCTGGGAGAGGCAGTGCTGGAGACAAGCAGCCTGGGATTGGGATTGTCTGCCTTTCGGGTCAACTTTGCCAGGGCTCTGGGTGTGGACAGAAGGCCTGCCTGGTGCACCAGGCAGCGTGTCCTCTGGGCCAGGACTGCAGTGACCTCTAGCAGTGCGGGGGTGGGGCTGGGGGTGCTGCCTGAGGCCTTGAAACCATAGATACCAAGCATTGGACTGTTAAAGTGGAAGAGCTACCTGTGGTCCAGAGAGGCCAAGGCACTAACCCAGAGTCACACAGTGGTCCTGGCAGGACGGGCCCAGCCCTGGGTGTGATGCCGCCCCTAGGAAACCATCTGTGTGCCCTGAGCTGGCTGTCCTTGACTGATGGCCTAGAGTAGAGATGGCCCAGGCTCCCCTCCGTGCCGGGAGGCACTCCAGCCCGCTGCGTGCGTGAGAAACCTAATCCTGCTGCCTTCTCAGGGCCCTGGGCTTCCGTCTGGTCTCACCTTCCTCTTGATGGAAAAACCCTCGGGTAGATCGGTTCCCATGACCAGGTGCTGCCTGCCCCATGCGCACAGGGTGACCTGCCACGGGAGGGATTGACCTCCTCCGAAAAAGTGGCTGACTTCCAGGGAAATAGGAGTCACCGGATGGCCCTCCAGTGGCGGTAGGCGCTCTGCCCCAGACCCTGTTCTCGGAAGGATTAGGGAGGCTCTCTCCCTGTCCCCTCACCAGACCCCTTACCGCAGGGGAAGATCTGCACTTCCCCCCACACCCCTGCTCGGCCCCGCGCCTCCGCTGCCCTGCCCGCTGTGGTCCCAGGTGAGCCTGTGCGGCGGTCTATGTGTGTTTGTATCTGTGTGGGCCTAAGCGTGTCTGGGTGTGTTTCTGGGGTGAATGAATACGGTGGGATCCCTTTGGCTTTCTCTTCCTAAGGGCCGGGGTCCGGAGCCTCCTTTGTAACTGGTGGGCTCAGACTCCCTTCCTTGGACATTGCCAGGTGCTTGTCTTGTCTCAGGCTGCAGAGGAACCCACTGTGGGGCATGGTCACCTGTCACTTGTCCTCACACCTGGAAGCTCACCCTTCTTTGCATAAAGGACATAACTTGGGCTTTCCCTGTATGTGGGTTTTGGGGGGAAGGTCCTTGCTTTGGGGCTCTGTTGCTTGGAATTGAGAATGAGTGCAACCCAAGTCTGTTGGGATTACATTTGGCCCCCAGGTAACAGAAAGCCCTCCAAGCCAGGTAAACTGGGATTTCTCCTTCTAGACCAAGAAGTGCAGAGGGGGCTGTCTGGAGTGGGTGAGGGTCTCTGTGATGCCCTGAGAGATCAGGCCCTTACCGCCTCCCTTCCCCTGGGTTTCTCCTGGGCAGCCTGCAGTCTCGTCCTCTGTGGTCGTGCAGACTCCACAGGCGGGTGGGAGGACCCGAGGGGATGATGTGTGGATGTGCTCAGATGTTCCCAGGTATTCAGGTGGTGGCGCTGTGCTGGAGGCACGCTCACCCCTAGTGATGGTCCCACCACCCTGGAGGTGACCTGAGTAGCCTACTGAGGCCCCCCGCCCCCCTTTGGCACCCCGATGGCTTCTCTTCCCAGAACAGGGATTTTTTCATGGAAACACAGCCAGCTCTGTCACACCAGGCGAAGGGGCCAGGGGTTCACAGTCTCTGCAAAATCTGGGGAGAAAATTGGAAACCCAGCAGCGAAGCACCCCCTTCTTTAATTAAAGGACGGGCCCAGAGGACGTGCCGGCTCCCCGCTATCACTGAGGATGGCCTTTGTCCCCAGCCGACGTCAGCTGGTGCCTGGCTCTCCGCCCCCCGGCCCCAGCGGCTTGCCAGCCCAAGCAGCTGACAGGTCACCAAGCTGCGAGGGGCCATGGGCGAGGACAGTGCCGTTCACCCACTGCAGCCCCCCGAGATTTTGCTCTGCACCGCTCCCGCTTTGGGAAAGGCGACCTGTGCCTCTGGGTGACTCGGCTCTGACCGTTCAGTGCCTGAGCAACCTTTGGTGACATCCTCCCGGCCAAGGGCTCGGATCCAGAAGTTCCTGGCCCACAGCTGTGTTCCGTCAGCACAGAGGGGAGGAGGGCTTGGCACGAATCTTAGCATGACCAGCAGGCTTGCAAAGCAGGCCATGGGAGGTCAGCTAGCATGAGCCTCGGGTGTCTGCATCCGCCCGGCGCCCCGTGGCCCCCACCAGGCTTGGGACAGCGGGGTCCCGTGCTGTGGTGCTTTTGCCCTCTCAGAGATGCTGCCCAGGCCCGATCCGCCTTCCCGATCCGCAGGAGCGGGATTTCAGGGCGCAGGGAAAGGTCAGAGGGCTTCTCCAGACGTCCGCTTCTCACAGCATCGTCCGCAGCCTGAGTCTTTTCTCACCATGAGAGAAGAGAGAACACAAGACCAGACCAGCGGGGGATGAGCTTGAATTTAGGGGAGATTGAAGAAGACACGTTCCTAATGGGAGAATTTACTGCTGCTTACAGGGACAACACGGGGACAGCCCCACTGTCCTCCCGTGGATGCTGCAGCAGGAGAAACCCGCCGGCAGCCCCCCACCCCACCCCAGCCCGGGCTGCCCGGGCGCCACCCCCATTCCTTCTATATCCCTGGCCCGTGTCCCCTGCCCTCCGCTAGCCTCAGTGGGGGGTGCCCACAGCCAGGACCCCCACCCAGAGAGCTTCCAGAAGCTTCCACGTGTCTAGACACCACTTTGACAAACAATTCCTCACATTCCCGTCCTTTCTGCATCCTGTTTCCAACTTCTCCCCGTCCGGGCCGCTCCGGGCCGACTTTGGGGGGGCCGTGGGCAGCCATGTTCTCACTGGCGGGCTCGTGCCTCGTCGGGCAGTGCTGGCTGGACGCTCTGCTCACGCTTCTGTTCTTGGATGCTTTTTCTCCCCATTTGGGGCAGAAACACTTAGCAGCTTTTGGCAGACGGCTCCCCCCCCGCCCCCCTGCCTCTGCGCCCCACACCCGGGCTTCCCTGGGGAAGGGGGTGGGCAGTGGAAGGAGAGGCTGCATGTCTGCCCCCTTCATCCTGCCTGCCTCCCCCTACCCGCGCCCTGAGCCCCCCTGGATTCTGGGAAGCGGGATTGGGCCGGGAACTCGGGTGCCCCCTCTGTGCGGGCATAACTCCTCTTGCCCGAGCCACCCGGGGTTGGTGGGCACCTTGGATGCTTGGGCTGCTATAACAAACACCACAGACGGGGTGGTTTAGACAGCAAGCATTTTATTTCTCATGGTTCCGGAGGCTGAGAAGTGCAAGATCAGCGCACCCCACATCCCGTGTGTGGGGAAGGCCGGCTTCCTGGGGCGGGGGGGCGGCCTTCTTGCTGTGTTGCTTATGCGGACAGATCTTGCTCTTCCTCTTCTTAGAGGGGGGACCCCCCCTATGACGCCCTCTAAACCTGACCAGCACCCGAAGGTCCCACCACATTGGGATTTAGGGCTTCAGTGTGAATTTGGGGGGATACAAGGCTTCAGTCCATAGCAGTGGGGATGTCCCCCCCCCAAAGTCCTCTGGCCACTCTGTCCCTGGGATCACGTCCTTGGAACACAGGGAGGGACCCTGGGATGTAGCACACCAGGGTGGGCCACCCCAGCTTTCTAGCCTGTTCCAAACTAGGACAGGGGGTGCAGGGCCTGCTCTGTGGGGGCCTCCACCTCCCAGCATGGCCACTCCCTTTCTGTGCGGCCCCGGGAGGCTCCTTCATCTCCCTGCTCTCTGCACTTCTGATCAGGGTGTTTAACTAGGTGATCACTGTGGTCTGGTGCCACGGTTTTCGGTTGGCACCTCGGACCTCCTGGCTGCAAATCAGGGCGGGCGCGGCAGCCTGGCGGGTCTCACCTCCCTGGCCACCCCCTCTGACCTGGCAAACCCCAAGGCTGCATCGTGTTCCAAACATGGAGGGTAGGGAAGGAGACCCGGGGGCAGAGGAGCGGGGAGACACAGACTTACCTTGTGGGGAGTCGGACCCCTCTGCTTGTGATCAGCCTGAGGGCTTTGCCTTCCTTCCTGTCTTCCCCTCGGGACTTTGGAGGGGCTCCCCTGCTGTACTTCCCGGCTGCCAAAACAGCCTTTCATGGTGGTCCATTCTGATTTCCAGTCCCCATCTCCAGGGAGGCAGGTGGGCAGTGATCAGAGCTTCTGGAATATGTGTGTATGGGGGGGCCTGACTGGGCATGCCTCCCTCAACCCCACGGTTCCCCGCTGTCTGCCGGGGTGGGGGTCCATGGGACACCCCGAGGTGGGGCGGGATCGCGAGGGAGGGGCCGGCCACCCCCTCCCCTGCCCGCCACCCTCTAACCCTCCTGTCGTGTGTCCTCCACAGCCTGTGATTGCCACCCCGTGGGCGCGGCCGGCAAGACCTGCAATCAGACCACCGGTCAGTGTCCCTGCAAGGACGGTGTGACGGGCATCACCTGTAACCGCTGCGCCAAGGGCTACCAGCAGAGCCGCTCTCCCATCGCCCCCTGCATAAGTATGTGGTGCCAGGAGCCCCCCTCCTCCTCCGGACTCCGGCTGGGCTGTGGGGGAGGGAAGTCCTCTCTGAACCCCACTGACATCCAGCGGGTTGAGCGCTTTTCCATATGGGACCCCGTGCGAGACCTCCAAGCCTGGGGGGTTCTTGCAGAAGCAGCTGGGAGCTCAGCATAGGCAGCCTGCTTCTTCTCTGTCCTGATAAAGACTGAGTCTCCCGTTCCCAGGGGGAAGCAAGCCCCTTTCCACTACCTGGGGCCTAGTCCCATGTTCCGCCTTGGCTCCCAGACCTGGGGTGGCCTCGTACCAGGGGTCGCCATCGTGGCTGTGGTGGGCATTCCAGGATCCCCGTACCCTGGCAGATTCGGAGCAGAAGGGGCTGACCCTACAGGCTCCCAGGCGTGGCCCCCTGCGGCCCTTATGACAGCTGATGGCTCCCCTGAGAGTCCTGGGGGCCCCTTGGACCAGCTGTTAGCCCCTTAGTTGCCGGAACTAGAGGAGGGGGTGAGCAAGATGGCAGGGGCCACTTAGGGGCCCTGGCGCAGAAGGGACTTAATGTTTTATAACTGGTAGGATCGTACCAGGTGTTATGGGTGGAGACTTAGCCTTGGTTGGAAGTCAGGCCTGGCTGGGAGCCAGCCCCCGGGCCTTGGCCTTCCTGATTCCTTTGTGCAGGGCTGACCTAACCCAGAAGGGAGAGCAGAAAAAGGAGCGGATCCCGGCGGGTCTGCTTCTCCAGGGCAGGGGTTAGCTCGCCCGGGGATTTGACCCCACCACCTGTTTTGGTGGGGCTCAGTGTTTTCTTTTAATAATTCTTTAATGTTTGAAAGCAAAGTCAGAAGGCGAATATTTTATGACACGTGGAATGCTTGAAATGAAAAGTGGAGCGTCCATGAAGTTTTATGGGGACAGAGCCGCGCCCACGCGTACCTGTTATCCGTGGCTGCTTTGAGCTCTAGCACAACTGAGTAGCTACAGCGGAGTCCGTAGGACCCGCGGAGCTGGGCATATTTACTAGCTGGCTCTTTCTAGGAGAGTCTGCTGGCCCAGGGTGGTCACAGGGGTCCGGTCCCAGCAGATAACCCAAATCCCGGCCCCGGGAAATTGAGTTCCATATCCACCCTGCACAGAGCACCTTGAGACGGTTTTCACGACCACCTCTACTCGTCAGTCTCACAATTTGCAGAAACCCTTCTCTTCCGTCTAGCCAAAAAGCTGCAAAGTGAACATTTTGAGAAAGCTGGGAGGAAACCCGGCGCTGCCCCCAGGGGGTTGTGAAAACATAAGAAAAACAAACAAGCTGGAGCCACCACTTCAAAGTCCCAAGGGGAAGGACCCTGAAGTGGAGCTGATGGTTCACAGTCAGGGACAGAAACCTGGGGAAGCGGGAAGTCTCGCTCTGCGACCTGCTCGGGCAGAGGCCAGGCATTCCCGCCAACCATCTGAGGACCTGGCTCTCCACCCTGGGGTTTCTGGGAGCTCTTGCTGCGGCCGCCAGCTACAGGCACCCAAACCGTGTTCCCCTGGGCGGGGGGGGGGGGCTCCTGCCTGTCTGGGCACAGCTCTGGGAGCCGGGCCCTCTGTGCACCTCCCGGAGCTCACCCGAGGCCCACGCCCATTGCTGCACATACCTGAGCCATCAGGACCACGGAGCTCCTGGGGGCTAAGAGCAGGCCGGTCTGTGGTCCGCTTCTTACTGAGCTGCTGTAACAGGCCACCCGTGGCTCAGTGCTGATAAAATCCCACCGAGAGCAAGAGCGGACCCCCGAATGGAGGGCTGGGTCTCAGGCATGCCCCCAGGCCCGAGCATCTGGACCCACCAAGCCTCAGGTCCCAGCTGATCCTGTCTGGAGATTGAGGGAGGTCTTACCCCGAACAGTCAGATGGTGGCCAGAGTCTGGGGGGTTCGTGGAGACCTCTGTGGCCCCCCTGTTCATGGAGGAGGCGAGTCCCTCCCCTTGGGGACTTTTGGTGGATGCCTGGGCGACTTTCCCAGAGACTGGAGGAACCTCCTCACCTTTCCTAAGCACAGGGAGGAGTCAGGAGCTAGTAGGAAAGAACTGGCATTCGAGGTAGAAAGGGAACGACCCCGGTGAAGTGCATGCTTCTCTCAGGCCCTCGGATCCTCCTTAGTCTTCTGGCTACCGAAAAAAGTGTGAGCCCGTGGGAACCTGGGCCTGGGGCGCAGACCCCCCCCCCCTGCATGCGTGAGACACCTCCCAGCCCCCTCGCCTGCCACCCCCGCCACGGAAGCCTCCTCCCCACCCGCCAGCGGGGGGAGGTCAGAGGGGAGCAATCACATCGTACGGGGAGGGGGGGGTCAGCCCTTCACGCTGTGGGCCCGCCCTGCCTTCTCCCGACTCCTGTCCCTGCCTGGTGGTGGGACAGCATCCCGAGGAGAACAAGGCCATGTTACGGGCCCCCATGCCGCTTCCTCCAGCTCCTGGCCCTCCTCCTCTAGGGCTGAGGAGTGGGGAAGGGAGGAGGGCCCAGGGAGGAGTCTGTGCTCTTGCCCATTCTCTTCTAAGGTCAAAAATAACATCTTTTTTTACCTCGTTTTCTCTTCCTCCTGTCCCGAACCTCGCAGAGATCCCTGCGGCACCACCGACCACGGCCGCCAGCAGCGTGGAGGAGCCGGAAGGTAGGCGTGTCCTGCTTTGCCATCGGGACGGCAGGGGTGGGGGGATCAGAGCTGCTAGACTCCTCAGAACCACCATCAGGGAGCTGCTGGGTATGTGTGGTGGCCCCTGGGGCTGGACTGAGGAGGATGGAGCCACACGGCATTTTTCCGGTGATGCCCCCTCCGAGAATAAAAGGGAGGGGGGCTTCCTGGTGCCTGCAGGCTAGCTTCTCACCCAGGCCCGAGACCCTCCTGCTCATCCACCCAGGGTAGCAAGGTGCCTGTGTGCCCAGCACCGTCGGAGCTGGGGCGCGTACTCCTTCCTGGGGCTGAAGAGAAGGCAGGAGGCAGGGATGGGGATGAAAAAGGCATCTTGAGCACAGGGGTCCACGAACAGGATTCACGGGGCTGGGAGCCCAGACAGGAAGAGTATCCCACCTTCACTGCCCCTCACTTCTGCCCAAAATCCAGTGCTCTCTCTGTGGGCCACAAACCCCCAGAGGGGTGGGCAGCCCACAGAAGTCACAGCGAATTTCACACCGCATTCGAGTGGCTTACAGAGATCATGAAATGCTGTGTGTGTTCGTTGTTGCTTCGGAAGGACGGAAGTTACCGGACTCGCAGCTAGATCCTGACTTATAATCATTAATAAAGAAGCACGTATATTATGCAACTGTATCGTAAAGCTGGGTTTTTGGAAAATATTTGGATGGGTATATTTCAGTATTATTCGTTTCCTGTATTCCACAGGACTAGCTGTGTGTTTTATTTTTGCATTTAGAGATATTGCTGGGAGAAAGGGTCCCTGGGCGTCCCCAGACCCTTGGTACAGGAGGGGTCACGCAGCCTGGGCCTTGGGCACAAAGGGGGCTCACGGCCTGGCTGGAAGGTGCGCCTGGTGGAGAGCAGGCCAGACCCGCTGTGAGGTCAACAGCCCTCAACTAGGAAAGGACAGAGGAGCATTGCAGGGAGTGCCTGAGGCCACACGGTGGAAAACCGCAGAGATCTTGGTCTTGGGTTGTTGGGCAGTCTTCAGTCCCCTTTGGTTGAGCTGCGGGGGACCCTTCCAGGAGGAGCAACAATGGGAAGGTGTTGTAGAGAAGTAGCATCCCCCAGTACCTGGGAGGCGGGATGAGGGAGCTCTTACTGTAAGAACATAATTCAAAGGAACCTCCAGCTCTGGGGGTTTGGGGGGAGCAGTGAAGACACTTCCCTTTAGCGGAGTTTTGATGCTAGCTTCCTCCTCGTGACATGGGTCACAGGAGGACTCACCTGGCCAAGCTCCTCCTGGGGGCAGTGTGCACAGCTGGTCCAAGGGCAAGGCGGCTCCCGCCTCTTTCGCGCCTCCCTGTTTCTGGTCCTTGCAGCTTGACTTGAAAACATGCAACCGTCTTGGCTCAGCAGGTAAAAGTCTCCTGAGCAACACTTAGAAACACTTGTAGCATCCTGCTCGGAAAAGTCTTTCTTAGCCGTTGTTTTGATTTCATTCCCGCGACTTGCCTTTCTTCCCCCCGCACCTTTCAAATCATGGCTTAAATGGAAGCAGGCATCATATGAATGCCCTGACCAAGCGCTTTCCTCACGGAGGGGTGAAGTGCACAGGTGTGATGCTTGTCCTGGTGCCCGTGGCTGTGGCCCGACCCTTTTTGACCTCCTCCGGAGCTCTCCAGGTGTCCGGAAATCTCTGGTGCTCCCTCCGGAGAGCTGAGGCCACTGCCAGGCCCGGAGCGCCGGACTCTGGAGCCGGCCACCACCACACAAAGCCCAGCTCGCCTGTCTCGGCAGGCCAGGACGTCGTGGGCAGGAGGCCAGGGGGCCCCCTGGGAAGCGGGGCTGGGAGCTCATACTCCCAAGCCTGTCGATTCTTGCAGTGTTTGAATAGGGAAGGCTTCTGTGCCAGGCCGCCCGAGAAAAGCTTGTTTACTTTTGCCTGCGTAATGGAGGAGAATTAATAAACCGAGAATTTGTCCTGAAAGCTGATGGACATAACCTCGCCCTGAACCCATCCCCTCGAACAAATTCTGTCCACCTGCTCACTGAGCTGGCTGGGACCCTCTCTTGGGGCAGGGAGGTGAGGAACGCCTGGCCCGTGGGAGGTCTGGGGCCCCGGGGTGGGGGGTGGGGTGGCGGCCCCGGAGGAAACCGAGTAGGAACGGGGTCGGGACCACCCACTCCAAGCCCACCTGCTTATGGTCATAGAGACCTCCAGCCCCCAGGCCTAAAAGAGGGCCACCTGCCTTCCCTTGCCGTCCATCAACTCCGAGATGGTTGTTGATCTGCATGTTTGTTTGGTTCAGCGGGAGGAGCGTGGTTTGGAGCCGGGCGACCTGAGGTTGATTCTCCACTGGCTGCGAGGCCTTGGACAGTGATCGGCTTCTTCCATGGTCCCTTATAGAGCTCTCTGCGGGCAGAAGCGCCCGGGGCAATGGTTGACAACTGGCTGGGCCAGGCCTGGTTTGTAGCATTTGCCACTTTCCCTAGTGTAAACACTCCTTCTGTGGCCAGTTTCCCCCCAACTGGGGCCCTGCGAGGCACCTTCTGCCATAGGCTCCCAAGGCGAGGCGCAGGCCTGGGCAGTCAGCCCCCCAGGGGGGCCTGCAGAGAACTCTGAGGAGCCCAGCAGCTGTAGGAAGGGCTCCATCCTCAGGTGCTCTCAGGTGGGGGTGCTGGGCTGGGGGCTGACCTTAGACGTGTCCCATCTGGGAGCCTCTCAGCCCTTCCATTTTTTTCTCATGGAAGAAAATCGGGGTCGTATACACCTGCAGCCTGGATTAGCTTGGCTCTTTCTTGTTTTTGGCTCTCGTTTTGCAAGATAAAGAATAGGTTGGGTGAGTATGGAAAACCACCTGGTAACCCTTGAATGCAGTACTGGCCAGGTGTTGGGGGGCAGGACAGTGAGGAGGAAGGAGCACTGGCTAAATTGGGAGCCTGGGGGCGCCTGGGTGGCTCAGATGGTTAAGCGTCTGCCTTCGGCCCAGGTCATGATCCCAGGGTCCTGGGATCGAGTCCCGCATCGGGCTCCCTGCTCCTTGGGAGCCTGCTTCTCCCTCTGCCTCTCTCTCTCTCTCTGTCTCTCATGAATAAATAAATAAAATCTTTAAAAAAAAAATAAAAATAAATTGGGAGCCTGGGGCCTGAGTTCTGTCTGATCTGGTTTCCTGAGACAGTGGTCCCCCCACCCCCATTATCCATGCGGGATACGTCCCCAGCACCCCCAGTGGATGCTTGAAACCACAGATAATACAGAACCCTGTTCATACTATGTTTTTTCTCTTACATGCATCCCTGTGGCAGAGTTTAAAATATAAATCAGGCACTGTAAGAGACCAACAATAACTCATAATAAAATAGAACAGTCATATCAAACGTGAACTCAGTCTCCCGCTCAGCACATCTTACTGTCCTGCACTCACCCGTCTTCTGGTAGGAGGATGAGAGATGGGGAGGTGCCGCGTGGGGTGATGAAGGAGGTGAACTGAGCTGAGCAGAGGTCTCCCGCCTGCAGAGCTGCTCACGGGGAAGGTGGAATTATGGCAGGACTTGTGGGCATGAGGACAGGTTATGGAGGGTCAGCTTGCTGGAGGTCTCTTGAGAGGACCTCGGGAGGGAAAAGGTGGTGCTGCCCAGGGCGGGGGTGGGGCAGCTGAGGGGACTGCTGGGGGTCCTTGTCACAGTCTTCCCAGCAGCTGCTATTAGACCTTGAAGGTAGCGGAGAGTTGAAAACCGGAAGTCAGTTAAAGGTCAAGTGCTTGACTTCGTGATAGCCGAAAGGTGACGTGTCCATCGCTGCACAAATGGGTAAACATGGCATGGCGCGTCCATATGGGGGACTAGTATTTGGTCATAAAAAGGAATGAGGTACCGATACACGCAAACTTGGATGAACCTTGAGGATGGTTTGCAGACTGAGGGAAACCAGAGATAAATGGCTGCATAGCATTATGATTCCATTTCTATGAAATGCCCAGAATGAGCAAATCCAGACACCAGAAGTAGCTTAGTGGTTGCCAGGGACTGGGAGGCAGGAGGAATGGCGAGTGATATTTGATGGATACGGGTTGTCCTGTTGGGGTGGCGGGAAGGTTCTGGAACTAGACAGTGGGGATGGGTCATATTGTGAATGTGCTTAATGGCACTGAATTGCCTCATTGAAAAAGGGTAAAAATGGTAAATTTTAGGTGTATTTTACTAACAATTAAAAAAAAAAGTCACATGCTTAAGATCAAGGGTCCAAGAGAGACGTGAATCTGGGTTGCTTGGGGTGGGCTAAGTGGAGCGTAGGATGGGGACAGGAGTCTGGGGCATAAGCAGCAATGGGGGACATGCTTTGATCACTGGGAGAATTTAGAGGCCATGGGGTTTCTTTGAGCACCTTCTCACGTCACCTCCATGCAGGAGTAGCTCAGATAGGGAGATGGCAGACAGCCTCTGGGCTTCCTGGACATTCAGCAGGGGCCATGTTCCTTCCCATTATGTAGAAAAGGTCTGGCCACACAGCCTGCATCCTCTTTCTCATTTGGGGGGTCATCAGGGAAGGATGGGTTCCTTCCCTGGGTACTGGGCCTTCAGTACTCCTGCTGTAGGAGAAAGGGGGCCCACAGGGGGTGCGGGGGCTGCTGACAGGAGCTGGAATCGCTGACCCTGTAGGCAGCCCATGCCCCTTGTAAGAACAGTCTGTTAATGGCCTGAAATCCTGGTTTTCGAAGGTGGTGCGAAACGGGAGGTTAGGCCGTCTGGGATCAGCTGTTTAGGCACATGACCGTCAGATAAGTATGACCAGACGAGGCTGGACCAGACGCATGATTAAAGATAAACAGATTCTGGCTCAAAGAAGAAGCAGAAGGAGATGACATTTACGGAGTGCTTACTCTCTCCTAGGCATGCTTCTCAATTATCAACCGTTAATCATCCATTCCCCCCAGAGGAGGTGGGCACTGATTAGCCCCCATGGTACGGAGGAGAGACTGAGTCACAGGGAGGTCCATAAGGACCCATAAGCAGTGCAGCCGGCATCCCAGGCA